TTTTTTTTTTTAACCCAACCGCTGGGTCAAAACAACCCAATAGCTGGGTTTGTCCCTTTTTAACCCAGCATTTTTTAGAGTGTACTACTACTGCTACTACAGCAACTGTGAATTTCATAACTACCATAACTGTGAGTTATTCATATAAAAGAGATTAATCAGTATCCCTATTATCAAAGCAGCCCAGCTTTATTTCTGTAAATATATGCTCTTTTATCTTACTGCCTTTAGTTTGCTCTGAGCGGGGAATTACCCAATTCATTTAAATTAAATGTCCCTTCCATTAAAGGAGTAGACCTGGGATCCCCTTTGAAATTAGATTTGAAAACTGCTGAGGCTTATCTAACGAGTGACTTAATACACCATATGATAACCAACACAAAAGACTTACTTTACTCATCCTGGACACTAATGAGAATATACTTAAGGCCTGGAGCTAACTTTTAGTTATGGTGACCACAGTATAAAAGTTACACAACACTATTTATGTATCTGTCTGGCTGTCTGGCTGTCTCATCTTTATTATTTTATTTTATTTTATTTTAGAGTATATTATTTTATATATTTTATATATATTTATGTATTTTTTATTATTTTTCTTATCCTTTCATATTGCTTTTAGGCATTATGATAAGATATTAAAACAATTTTTATATTACAATATAATGCATTGTTTTCCCATTACAATTTATTTACTTGAGTTTTGCATGAAAATTAACTCGATTCTCCCCACAGTTCTGCACCGTGAACTTCGATTGACATTTGCAATCTCTACATGACACACACAAGTAAGTTCAAAGGAGCTCAGGCTATAGAAGTTATTAGGGTGTTTCTTGGTTATTTAGAATTTTGCATGTAATTATGCATGCTAATGAGCCAAGCAAATTACACTTTCAGAGTTGATAGCAACAGAAGTGATGAGCAAGATAACCAGACATCGGAATTCATTTTCATTATGCACTTGTATGACTTTTAAATTTTTTTAAAGCCAGAATATTTCCCAAATGATCATCTGCTAATTGCAGTACAACTCACATAAATCTTTAGTGTTCTCTACTTCTCCATCACTCTTTTTGTGTGTGTGTGCAGTCAACTTAAGGCTTCAATTTTTCTCTAATACAGCAGTTGCATAAAATGAGCTGCTTGCACAAAAAAAAATTGCTAAAAGCAGATGGTGCGTATTATAAAGCTGGCACATGCTGAAAAATGGCAATGGCTTTACAGATAAACTGGAAGATTTTATTTCAGTCTGCTGCAAGCCTTATATAATAAAATATTCCTATATATATATATATATATATATATATACACACACACACACACACACACACACACACACACACAATGTACCTTTACATCCAGCTCTGCCTTTGTGAAGTGTATTTTCTTAGTGATACAGCCTCAGACTACTGTTATATTTTTATATTTGCATTTCGGTGAACATACACAGTATATTTTGAATCCACTTTACATTAGTTTTTTCTCTGAGATGGTGAATATTGCTTGAGCAGATCGATATTTCTTTTATAACTTCACAGAGCAAAAGAAGGCCCATATATACACACACGCACACATCAAACGGCATGGACTTGCATCCCAATAACTGAGGCCTGCATGTAGCAGATGCAGAAATATTCAGCATCTTCTGCTCACCTTATATAGATAAAATCTCCTTTGACAGTATCAGTGGAAATCAATCGTGTTTGGATGCCAGCCTGAATGGATAGACCTCTCCAATAACAAATCAATATTGTAAACTGATAATTGAGTGGTCATCTTCTTTTCTCTTTTGCAATCTGACTATGATTCTGTTGGATGTGTGGCTGCAGGTTGCTTGTTAAAAGAGAATTGCTCCCTCTATAGGCAATGTTAAGCATGAAAAGTGCTGCATAAGTGCTGTCAGCCTATATGCTTGTTATCACAGAGTTTAATTTCTGTTGAATGGAGGTGGCCCATTGTTTTCTGATTGCTTGTTGCGACGAAATAGTCAATGGCTGACTATCGGGTAGGATTAAGCATTCCATACAATCGCTGGCACTGCTGAATAATGTGGATTAAAATGCTATTCTTCCCACAGAAAGATGGCCTGGTGGATTTGTTGTGTAGATACAGCAAAACCACACCAGGAATCGGCTTTTCCAAAATGATTTGTATTGAAACCTACTGTTAAGGCAGTGAGAAAGCAAGGGTGAGCGAACGATTGGGAGGGAGAGAGAGAGACCATGGACAGCTTAAATATTTCTGCAACAGATTAAAAAGCAAGCTGCTTTGTATTTTGACAGAAAGGGGCATTAATTATATTCCTACAACAGTGGAAATGTCAGCGTGCTTCTGGTCTGCCACTGCCAGAGTGAGAAAAGAGGATTAATGTACATATGTAAGACAATGCAGTCCAGCTTTAACCCCTTAGACTAGTGCAAAATACAGAACCCACACCCAAAAAAATCTAGCAATTTGGTTCTTCTCCGGGTTCCTTGCGGAGTCCAGGCAGACATCCAAACCAAACTGTGAAGAAGCCTTCCCGTGAGTCACTGTCGCTGCGGGACGGTTTTGTTTTAGCTCTCCGCTGCTGTTCATGTTTTTTTTCTGTATTATGTTCAAAAGCTTCAAAGTGAGAAGAAAGTTTGGAAAGGGAGTTAAGGACTTCTTGCGTGTTTTGAGAGCGCCCCTCTGGGTTATTGTCGTTGTGCAAGGAGCTGGAAACTCTTGGGGCAAGCTCTAGATTTAGTTTGAGAAAGCATTGTGGGATGAAATTAAATCCAGTTTAATGAGATAGAGGCAATGCCCTGCAGAGCCGTCTATACTAGTCAAGATGGCTATATTTATAGCATGAACTCATCACATGTACAATTGGTGTTCTGAAATACTCTGAATTAACTGCATGCGTAAATCCTGTAATTAAAACCAAATTAAGTCAAATAGAAACAGTGTTTACATCAAAATTAGAACAACCAACCGTATAATTTTTTTTTGGATCAAAACAAAGTTACCTGCTGCTTATGTTAATCTGACATTGCTGACTGACACTGCAGCTATCCATAATCAGATGTAGGAGAAATACCAGATACCCACCACATATAAAACCCCACAAAAGCTGTAACGTTTAAGTCAGGAGATGATTCCGACACGACAGGATGAGCAGGGAGGGTGAAGTGGTTTAACTCAAAATAGATTGAGTCACAGAGTGTCCAGTGAACTGTGACAGGGTACTCACCCAGACCGTGAAGGGTGGTTCCACTCCTGTCCCTACAGCGTTTGTATCCGATCGACTTGTAGCGGCAGTCAGGATGTTGGATTCTCAGTTCGGTCTCAAGTGGAGGAATGCAGCTCCCACCCGCTCGTCCCCCCGCCGTACCTTCTCCGCGGTGATTTCACACGGGTTCACAAGGCAGTCAAAAGGGTAATCCAGGCATTGTACTGATGCTCCGAAGAGAGTGCTCTAAGTGCACCCTTTATGGATGCACTTAAAATGTTTGATAGCCATTAGTTTATTTTTCTCGATTAAAGATTTAAAAACTGGATGCAGACCAGTTCTTTTAGAATGCAAAGTCCCAGAAATTAAATTTTTGTCCAAGCAGGACAGAAGCAATTCGGGTCCTCTTGAACAATGTGTGATCTTCCCAAACAAGTAGGATCACATCAGATTACAATCAGACAGATAAATCCATACGAAGCTGTTCTCTCCTTTCAACTCATTTGCATTATCCAGCTTCTTCCAAGTAGAAAAACTGCACCTGCCACAGTTCATTTGTGACATCCACTCTCTCTCTCTCTCTCTCTCTCTGTGTTTTTTAGTGTGTGTGTGTGTGTGTGTGCCAGATTGCTAGAGCTAGACTTTAGCTGCCCGTGCTGTAGTCATCACTCACTGCCATGCCCTAAAACGGTGAGCCTTGCGCAGAGGAGAGCTACTCCAAGTCTTTCAGGAAAGCATCTCTTTCTTTTCAACAAGCTCTGTCCAACTGAGACCAGAGGCCACGCCTCTTGCACTCTGATTGGCTGAGCTGCAGCAGGCAGCGATGTGACAAGGAAGAAGAGAGGGAGAGAATGAGAGAGAAAGAGAGAGAGAGAGAGAGAGAGAGAGAGAGAGAGAGAGAGAGAGAGAGAGAGAGAGAGAGAGAGC